GAAGATACGGTTATAGAAGAGGGAGGGCCTTGTTGCCACTGGGTCTTTTCCGCTCTGAAGAAGCCAAAGTCGACGTTTGAGTCTACAATAGAGAGTTGTAGTTGATCGGTAAAGGCCGCGATGTTTGAATCGATATCGGACTCGAACAGATCAGGATGGGGGGCAACGACGTCTGAAGGGGACTGAAACGAGAAAAAGTCGAGGTTCTGTTGCTGCTTGTAGAACTCGTTGGTGTTGTAGGCCTCATAGGCATGCCCGTACTGTGCTTCAGACATTGTTAATGATTTGCTGCGGACTAGCTTGGAGTCAGTGGAGGTGAAGATGGTGGTTGGGAAGAAAGCTGTGATTTCTGTTGACTCTCCAATATACAACTGCTGCGCACTTACGTAATATCATAATCCGATCCCCTTTTGCTCAATCCCCACACGGTGTTCTCAACCCGTCCACTCTCCACTTCAGCCACGCTCAAAATGCATGTGTGAACAACTGGTCAACTCGATCATGGAAGACTTCAGCTCGCCACTATTGCTTTCATCTGAGCAGCAATTCTCCTCGATGAACCCCTTTCTCATGGTGTTTCAATGTGAATGTTTTGGACAATCATTTGAAAACCCAAACCATTGCGGGTGTCACGACTTGGGTCATCCGAGGTCATACGTACCACACGATGAGGCATACGTAGATAGACGTGTTCTGCGCAGTGTCGCTCGGCCGCGCAGTGACAAATCAGAATGACTGGCTACTCAGTTTCGAAGTCTCAATACAATGCAGCTGCACTGCCTTCACATTCCGAGCTTGTCGGGACTTGGTGCCTCATCGCCTCATGGCAACCGCAGCACTGATTGACGCTGAGCGCTCTAAGGCGCTATATCGCCGTCGGGGTAACGTTGATGGTTGATGGTTTCTCCGCCACAACTTACCCGTCATTTGTATTACCTTCATATAGCCCGCCTAGCTCAATCGGATAGAGCGTCAGACTCTTAGGCGGGTTAGATCCACAGGATCATCTGAAGGCTGCGAGTTCGACCCTCGCGGTGGGCTACTAGTTTTGACTCTTTTCTGCTTTTGATTGACCAACTGAGGCCTGCCATTTACCAGAGTTCATGCTTTTTGCTTGTACGCTCCATGAGTTATTCATCGCATCGCGTAATACTCGCCCATTTGTCTTGTCCATTACCATGGACAGCTTCCATTTCACCAGATATCTCAATGACACGCAAAATACATGTATAGTCTTTCGCGCTAACAATCACCTAAGCTCCGAGAGAGTAAAGTGGGTTCATGATCTAGAATCAATAATATACTGATATCCGTACCGTCTTCTTACTCATTGAAGAAAACTTTTAGAAAGAAAAAACGAACACGTAGCCCACCGCGAGGGTCGAACTCGCAGCCTTCAGATCACGATGTGACCGATCACCCGGACCTCCGTAAAAGTCTGACGCTCTATCCGATTGAGCTAGGCGGGCGATACTATCACATTAAAGTGTACCTGTATATTGCACTGCAACATGCCAGTCAGTACCTGAGCTTTTTTGGAAGAATCTGCGGTCGAGTGAGATGTTCGTAACTTGAACTCGATACACTTGTATTACAATACATGCACTAAAGGTCGACTGCGGGGGGTATTGAAAACGTAGTTCCACGATTACACACCAACCCTGTAACAGCCAGCATAAGTATTCAGGAAACTGGATGACAGCGAGTAAAGTTACTTGCCTGTGTACAACCTTTTTCTGTGGATTGACGAGAGGGCAATCAGTCGCTTGAGGCATACCGAAAGATTAAAGAAAACCAACCTGACCGGAAAAACGGATGATCTCCCTCTTCTCTAGAATAAATAGGGTCCTTTCCAGGGCATGACTGGAGTAGCCTTGTTGCGAAACGAACTCCCGAACAAGACTCTGATAGCTAGTGCTCCATCCGACAGGCAATCGTCGTCGAAGTTCGCGTTCTATCCGCACCATCTCTTCATTTAGCTCTCCACGCGAAAGACCATCTGCAGAACCGGCAGAAACAGCGTCCATCGTCGAGAATTTGAACAGCCGAATGGCTTCTTCAACATGATGATTTTGAACCACAGGAGTCAATGTCATCTTGGCCAATGATTCAGATATTCGAATGATGGCCTCAAGTTGACTACAAGCCAATTTGGTTCAGAAATGTTCCAGGAATTAGTGAACTAAGCACTTACCGGATGGTGATGGGGATTGAGCTCCGTTCGTCATTATCTCTCTCGACTTGCTGTACCTGCCTCCGCAAGCTTACGAAGTGACTACTGAGCATCTCTTGTGCCTCCGCTGATAACCGGGGTGCGCATTTGCTACAGTATGGGTTAGAAGAAGCAGCCAATGCATCGACAAATTGCAGACTTTTTACAATAAGCGATATACGCCTTCATTTTGCCAAGATCAAGTTCACCAACGGCATTACCGTCCTCGTCGCCGTTTACGTTAGGCCTGTTCATGTGTATATTCATGACATGCTTGGCAATCATCTTTGGACATTGATGAGAAAAATATTATGGAATATGTTTGGAGACGCACTTTATCTCGGGTTTCGTTATGTTCATCTCTTACGATGAAAATCATGTCAAATCGCGATAGAATCGTTGTTTGAAAGTCAATGTTCTGCAAGAAAGTTGAGTATCGGGTGCACGAACAGATACCAGGATTTCACTTACCTCGCCGGGGCTCCTTCCCTCGTCGTATCTTCCAAACACGGGATTGGCGGCTGCGAGAACGCTCGTCCGGGAATTAAGGACTGTCGTGATGCCAGCCTTGGCTATTGAGATAGTCTGCTGCTCCATGGCTTCGTGAATAGCTACACGGTCTTCATCTCGCATTTTGTCGAACTCATCGATACAAACAACTCCTGTGTCCGCAAGAACCATTGCCCCGCCTTCCAGATAAAATTCACGCTGTGACAGTGCCTCAGCGACTGCGTGAATGAAGATTGGCCAGACCGACTTACAGATACAGTGTCTCGTTGGACTGAAGCTGTCAGACCGGCGGCACTGGACCCCTTCCCTGAAGTATACACAGCAATTGGAGCAACCTAAACGCAGTGTCAGTGGGTATTTACGAAAATATAGATTCTAAAAGCTGACCTTCTCAACAAATTTGAGCAGCTGACTCTTCGCAGTACCAGGATCGCCCAACAAAAGTACGTTGATATCGCCACGCAGTCGCATACCATCTGGGAGAACCTTCTTTGAACCGCCAAAGAGCAAGCACGCAATGGCTTTCTTGATATCTGCAGGACGCTGAGTAACATAGACCGAACGAAGGGTGTGTGCTTACCCAGACTACCAAAGATACTAGGAGCCACACTCTTTGCAAAACGTTCGTAGAACCCATCGCTACGAGCCATCTCCCCAAATTCTTCTTCCTGTTCGGGTGTGAATTGTGCACCGAAGGGATTCGTTCCCCCTGCTCCTGCAGGTGACATCATTTCGAGGTGCACTAGGCGAAGATAAGGCTGTCGGAGAGCCGCAGTTCCTCCTCCTCCTTTCTATGACAGTCCATCAGTATTGTACCAGTCGTCTATGGTAGAGACCTACATTTTTTGCGGATTGAAATTGAGAATAAATTCCAGATGCAATTACTCGGGATCCCGGGACAACCTTTCCTGTCAAGTGTCGGTCTGCACTGAGAAGCATGTGGCGTGGCAGTTCTCCAACTGGCACCATATCAGGCGCCTCCTGGAGTTTTAGAGTTTGCTGGTCAGCGAAAGTAGATTTGGAATGAATGATGAGGTAGGGGTCCATAGGGCAATCCTTCTTCTGGCCTTCTGGTTCCGGTGCGTCGCAAACGCGTGGCAATCCACGATCAGAGCCACTTCCAAGCCCCCCCAAGCCGCCTTGCGGGTATATAATCTTTGTTGAACGACAAGCGCGGCATTGAAGATGCAACTTTGATGCTCGTGACGAGAGGACTGACGCGGAGATGACGATTCCGGGTATGCGAACGAGTTTATTCATGGTATTAGCTGTCAACTCGCGAACTTGAAGTAGGTTGAGACCAGATTTGACGGTGACTTGGACTTTTGGGATTGCCTCAGCTGCTGCCTCTGTGCGGTCCCCGGAATTGCCAGCTAAGGGAAACAGGATGGATCGCGCTGTTTTCGTAGCTGCATTTTCGAACTTGACAGCGCGTCAATGTGTGAGATTGAAACAAGACAGTAAAGAACGCACCAAAGGTAAAACATCAGCGGGTCTATCTTGGATCGCATGAGCCAACTCATCGTTGTACAAACTGACGTGCCGAAGGTCGACCTCGAGGAGATGTTGTTTTAAGAGGACGTTTCCACGGAGCTTGTCCCTAGAGATGGTCAGACATCACCGCCAAACCGTGCCAAGAGTAGCTTACCGGTAGATGAACTCTCCGCCTACTCGGAATTTTTGAAGAAATTCAGCGAGAAGTTTCTCGGTTTCTGATGGCGAGTCTGGGGTCGTGGCAGCTGGTACATCATGGACAGAGACCGAATAGACGCGATTTGCATCGAAGCCAGACATATTGGCCCTGGAGAATGGTATCGTATAGAGCTGATGTTCGAGAGGCGCTAACCGCACAATAATGAGCTTTAGGGCAGGCCCTTTCGCGTCGGTCATGCGACCCAATGCTGGGACTTCCAGTCATCAAACCGTCGTCAAGCTTGAGCCCTTCTCTGCAAGTAAAGATGTCGTTATGGAACTTGAGGGGGCAGCCTCAAGCGCCCCAACCGTATGTTAGAATATACGGCATCTAGGAAGAGCATGTCATGGGCTACATCCTCTTGTATCATTCTTATATTTTCTATGCAAAAAATTCTTGGTGTGCAGTACACTCTTCTTCTGCTTGATGCAGTTCAAAACCTTGTTCCCGACCTGGATCCCAATTATTCCACTACTGACTTCTACAAGGCATGTTGCGCTAAGTTGCAATATCACAAATAGAGGTGCAGTGCACAACTTTCTTACGTATGCTGGTGATAGATTTGTACTGGTAATGCTTTTCATGTCCTTCTTAGCTCAGTTGGTAGAGCGCGTCACTAGTAGTAGACCATGACGAGGTCAGTCGTTCAAATCGGCTAGCAGGAATGTTTTTTTGTCACCTTCAATTATCGCCAAATACTTTCAAGGTATGTATGTATGTCGGTTGCTTTTGCTATCTTCTTCAGTAGATAGCTTGTAACACACCATTGTAGATGATAATGTATAATCTCTAGCTTAAATGAAGAAAGAATGAATTATGCTTTCTAATTTTGCGTGATGAGATGCAAAGAGCTGTTCAAAACCATAATTGAATTTAGGTCTTGAGTATGCAGCTCACAGCTGCTTGGGTAGGGCTGCAATCAAGATGAACATTGGCATTAGAGAGACCCAGGAGAGATCTGGAGAAATCCATATCTTCAATGTATCACGTGATTGACACCCTTTCAATTAATGCAGTCGAATCGGGTGCTGCGTACAGTGTTGAGTAACTTTTGACTCGAGCTGGATCGCCCTCTGCGTAATCAATCTTCTTCTTTCAAGTACCATGAGCGCTATGGATACAGACGAGATTTCCGTGGTGCTTCCCCCAACTACCACGTCAGGATTATCACTTTCACTGTAAGGACCTCCGTTTATGTGGCTCGAGACTATATCGCTCAAGAGTTGCGATCAGCCATCCATTACCGATCTTGAACATCTCGGAGCATTTGACCAGAACGAAGCTACAGAAGAACTCTCCAGATCCTTTTGGTATGTCTCGCGGTATTACCGCTGGCGCCGTGATCTAATGTCGTGCAGTCCTGGGCGCTCTTCTTGGAACACAAAATGGTCGAGAGGTCGAAATCGTGAATACCTTTGAGCTTATGGTCGTCGACATGGACACAGAGCAAGGAAATTTAGATTTCCACGAATTCCTCGTTTCTAGACGCGACCAATGTACATTCCCCTGAGTACTTGCGTTGAACAAGACCTCTAACTTGGTCATTATCAGATAAACAAGTATTTCCTTCCCTCGAATTCATTGGATGGTATACCGTTGCCCCTCGACCGACGCTCAAACATACTGCCTTGCACGAACAAGTATGTAGAGCATCTACCATTGAACGTCAGTTGAGAATGCTTACTCTTTCATTCATTTAGTTCACCAGATACTGTTCTACGCCACTACTGCTGATTCTTCAGCCAAATCTGGCTATGGTCTCGAGTTCTGATGTCAACGCGCAGACACTTCCTTTCAAGGCCTATGAACCGACCATCGAACTCAGGGATCGGAAATCGCGCTCTGTGTATCTCGAGGTACCGTACACCGTTGAAACGGGAGAAGCTGAGCGCATAGCAGTGGACTGGACGGCAAGAGGAGGAGGCAGTGGGACGAGTCGTAAGAGGAAGCTCGCTGACATGTGGCATTAAATCTTACCTCTACTTTTCCAGTGGAATCACATTTACAGACGCAAAGATCAGCCGTTAAGATGTTGCATGAGCGAATTCTCGTACTCATCAAATACGTGGCCGACGTAATTGCAGGTACGACGAGTGAAAACATTTGTCATGTACGACGATCTCATGAGTTTACAGGTCAAGCCCGACCAGATCATAGCATTCTTCGATCTCTAGCAGCACTTGTTGCGTCTCTGCCAGCTTCTGAAAACAAATATTTTAGGCAGGAATTTGACACTGTATGTACTCACTTCATCATACTTCATGAGCAATTTCTGATGGTTTCTACCCTAGGAATACGAAGACGTGCAACTGACAGCATTCCTGTCTTCTCTGACAAAATCAACAAATATTCTGAACGATGTGGGTCGCGTTTTTCTTTACATCGTGCAGGGTGCTCACCTGTTCCTTTTCAGCTGGTCGACAAACATCTTTTGCTTACTGCTGGTCGAGATGAGCGTGGCAATCCTCGCAGGAGAATGGGAAGACAAGGCGCTCCTGGCGATTGGGACCGCTTTCACTGATCCCAATTTAATTCGTTTGTTATTCGCTCTGTGTATATTCTCTGCATGCCCTCGAAAATACGTTGCTTGTAATGCTTGTATTCATACTTACCTTTACCAGATATCCTCACGACCGGCCCACCACACGGTCAAGATGAAATTTAATGAAGTAATATTGGTAGTACATGGCATGAGATCATGCAGGTGAACCATAACGATGCAGTAAGTAAGATCCATAGATAGCAACGAATACGCTTTGAATATGCTGACAAGAGATAACATGAGATTGAAGGTCGTCGTTAGGTCGTGGAATGTTCATTAGATTATGCAAAGCAATCATTTTCCTGCCTTGAAGCCTGTATGAGATTAGTGGAAAGTACAGCTCGGAACATGACGGTCAGCGTACCAGTGGCTAGAGATCGGCTTGATGCTCTCGATAGGACGCTCATATTACCACTTCCGAACATACTTGTTAATTTGCTCTTCTCCTTGTCCTTGCGAGGAGTAACCTCTGGGCTTTCGCCTTCCGAAGGGCCTCCGCGAGATGATGGCCGCTTGACAGTACCCGTCAGCTTGCGCCAGAGGCCCTGCTGGCTCGCTGACGGAGGCGGAACAACAGAGGGCCGTGACGATGGAGATGGGGCAGTCGATGGGCGCGACGCCAGTCGGGGATAAGATTTGGGAGTCAATAACGGTGACTCAGGTTTTGACACCACAGGAGTAGAAGGACTGTGCTTTTCTGTCGTTGTCGTAGGTATTTTTTGTGCTGGTGTATTTGTAGGCACAGCTTTGACCGCCTGCGGTCTGCACGGGCTTTCGATTATTTCAGTACGAGACGATGGAGCAGACGTGTCGAGAGGCGAAGAAGTTTGGCTCAGTGCAACACTCGAGCTCAAAACGCTAGAGTCAGAAGTCGCAGGAGATGAGGATAGCACAGCCTCTTGTTCTGTTTCGACTTCCTCTAAGAGCGCAACGTCGGGTTCAGCAGCCCATGAAACACTCCGTTGGTGGCCGAATGTTGAAGTCGAGTGTCCCTCCTCTTCCAATTGAAAAATGCCATGTGCTCTGAGATCATCCCTATCTTGGGCAGAAACTAGATCTTCTAAAGCCCTCCTTCGGTAAACGCTGGTCGTGGGGGAATGAATTGTGGTTGCAAAATCCCATGAATCCATCGAGTTGGCAGATTGGATATTATTGACGACGCGTCGCTCCTGGCGTTGCGTGAGTGGCGGGAGATCCTCTGGTCATTGATATTGAGTTCATTTGAATCTTGCAAGGTCGTGGAGATGAACTCACTCAGTATCGCGCCAACGATATATGATTTCTTCTTTGCTGCCTTGAAGAATGGTGTCTGCAAAAGCTCCTCTGCAGTCGGACTTGAAAAGTATATTCAGACGGTATACTCCAGAAAACGGACAAACTTGACATACCGCTTCGAAGGATCCTTGATCAAACAGCTATCGACAACCTCCTTGAAGGCGCGACTATATTTGTAGGTCCCTCCTTCACGGTCTAGAGCTGGAGGATCCTCTTGTATACTGTGGAAGGATTAGCGTCGAGTGACAGACACAACGCAACCTGGGCTTACGTCTTGAGCAACACCCGCTGCGGCGACTCTCTGGATCTCGGCGGACGTCCTTGTGTTAACTCTAATGCGGTGATACCAAAACTCCATATATCGGCTGAAGAGTCATATTGTCGCCCTTGAATCAGTTCTGGCGCCATCCAGCAGGGCTGATGGATGTTTATTCTTTAGGTTAAAGGTTAGGAAACCCGACTGAAGCCCACCTACGGTCCCGACGAATGATTTCCGCTTTCCCATCTTAGGGCGTACCGGTTCTGCTTCGTCAAAAGCGACCATACGCTTTGAGCTTGAGCTGCTATTTACTGTCGTCGAGAGAGGCAAGGACTTGGATTCAGATAGTGCAGCTCTTGCGGTGACAGAATGTGATTTCGAATGGGAGGACGAGTGTATATGTGACGTGTCTTCAGCAAGATCGGCCGCCACTCCAAGGTCTCCCAGAAGGACCGTTCCATCATCGTCAATAAGAAGATTTGCAGCTTTGACATCACGGTGGATGAATCCGTTGATATGGAGGTAACTGCAAATCAAGAAGTCAGTACATGCACAGATGAGGTTAAGGAGTCACCCACTTCAACCCCTTTAGCGCCTGACGAAGGATACATCGAACTACGTCCTCCTCCATTCCACCTGGCCAGCCATAGCGCATGACATCGGCAGCGCTCCCTTTGTTCATAAGACGCAAAGCAATATAAAGCTTGTGCCCTTCCATCCACGAGCCACGGACACGTAAGACATTGGGATGCTTTGAGAGGGACATAAGGGTTGTTTCTCTCTGCAACAGCTGGAGAGACCGTGGTGGAAGCGAATCGAGGTCGAGCACTTTCAGGGCGCAAGGAATCCCTTTCGACATATTGCCACCTTTGCTGGGCGACGATCCCGAATGGGACGGATGATATACTGCAGCATAGACAATTGATGAGGCGCCAAAACCTATGGGTGCACCCATAATATAGTCTGCGGCACAGTCACTAGTCGGAAAGCCAATTTAGACGAAATGCAACTTAGAGGTAGGTGCAGAAACATACCTATACAATTGCCATTCGTCCTCAACTGCACCAATGAATTTCTTGGTGGTATTTGAGATCATCATATTGTGAGCGCCTTCAGTTGCAGCAAGGGGAACGGTCCCTGAAGGCAAGTGGGCGTCGGAAGACATCATTAGGACACGTCAGGGTGCTGTATCTATAGTGGATAGGAATGCTAGGGTTGAATGCTGTTTGATATTTCCGAGAAATAACGATATGCTTTGTGATGCGCCGCCGTTTCAACTGGAGTGGTTTTGGGGTACAACTGGGTCTTCCGGCGTTTAATGGGGTTGCTGTGCAACTAACCTTGGTAATAATGTTATGTGGCAGGTTGCAGCTGACACTAACTTCGGGAAGCTTCGTGTAGAATTGGAAGGAGAGATTTGAGAGAATTTGGCCTGGGAGATGAAGAGAGAGAGTTGGATCGATTCCGTCGCAGACGGTCCAGATGTTTTGTGCTGATCGTGTTGTTGCACTTAGTGAAGGTTTGTATGATGTATAACGGGCCGACATGATGGGCTTGGCAAAGCCCTCTGAACGCCTTATCGACCTCGA